TGCATCTTAAGAAGACAGAACTCTTGGAATATTTCTTCCAATAGGCATCTTTATTAAGAGAAGATGGTTGCAGGCGTTCTAAACAGGACTTGGGGTGAAAGCTTTCCAACTCAAGATTTTAAAGGGGTCCCCCCTTTAGCCACCCCCATCACCCCCTTCTCCCAGAGACAGTCTCAGGCATTTCATCCCCACCCCTTTCTTCACTACCGAGAGGAAACTTCAGGAAGGATCACATGAAAGCTAATGACCCCCTATTGTTATTGTTAGTCCTTTTGGTGATTCCACATCCAGTTCCTTTGAAGTATCCTGAAGGAAGTGAGGGCCATAAAGCCCCTTTGTTCACCCCCTTCCCTTCATCCATGACAGAATCCAGGGAAGGCAGGGATGGAGTTTTTCATACTTGATAACTTGATATGAAATATGATTGGATTCTGACAAAAACAATGCTTGTTGGGAACAAATTGTCCTCAAGACCTGATGCTTTCTCATTCCCTTTTTTAGCCTTAATACCTGATTTGCATATTTTCACCATGAAAGTTACAATGAAAATATTTTACTAAAAAAACAATGATAAGAGAATACTCTCAGGATTAAGGCCGAAACTTCTAGCAGTGCTTGCTAATTAGTTTTAATGATTATCTTGTCATTTATGTGCTATTTAAACAGCTCCTCATATTGAAGATTTCGTGATGCTTCCCACTCCAGTGCTAAGATTGCTAAATATTTTGAGTGATGCTTTTCTTCAAAATGAAGAAGAATTTGAAGGTTTGTATGGTATTCTTTTTCAAACAGTTCCTTATTTAAAAGTAGATTACAGAATATTCTAAAGTGGGAACAGAAAATGACAAATAGTTTTAGCAATAAGAAAAAAAAATTCCAAGGTTTTCCTATCTCCAAATATGAATTTTCTGAAAGAAAATATCTCAGACCAAGGGAAAGGCATTGGAGAATGTGCGTGTATCTTTAGAGTGGCTGGATTGGGCAGATGGTACCTAGCAGTATTGTTGAAAAATTTGTTAGATCCAGAGAGCACTTCTTATTTTGTATGTTATTTTGAAACAAAGATGGCTTTAGTGTGGCATTTTTCCCTTTTTCCTTTATTAATTTATAATATAAAATACAAAAATACAAAAGCAAATAATAGGAAAAGTAGAGGAGGAAAAGGGGAAGGGGAAAAGTGTAGAGAAAAATGGAAAAAGAAAAAAGGCATTGATTTCTGACTCCCTTTAGTGCAGTAGAATAAGAAATAACATCAAACCTCAACTTTTTACTTTTACATAATAGTATAAACTAGCCATTTCTATAACAACAGATCTATCTAATCAGTAAAGCCCATAATCAATGTTTCATTTTTTTCCACCTCAAGCATAAAGTCCAGAAGCAGTTTCCAAATAGAAACAAAAGTACTTATGTTTTTTTTTCTTTTATCAAAGCAGTCAAATGCCATCTCTGCTAACCCCTGGCATTTCCAAGTATGATAGCACCTCCAAAAGTTTCTGCCTGAAACACTAGAAACGTGTCTATACAATTCATTACAAGATCGCTTGAGTGCAGGGTCCATTGTTGCTTCCCAATGTCCATTTAAAATTAATCTGCCTCAAACTCAAGTGGTGCCTTGTCAAAGCAGAAATAAAGTGGGACACAATCATTTCCCATGATTTGAACTCTATGCTGTTGTTATATATCCAAAATAGAATTTGCCTTTTTAGTAGCTATATCATTATTCAGTTTGAATTTTATTTTTTCTTATAAAGTTTTGTATCACCTGCAAATTTGGAAATTATCCCTTCAAATATTTTATCCAGATCCTTAATAATTATTATATACAGTGTAGGGCCCAAAACCAAGGCCTTTGTCATTTTACATCTCACTGTTCTCCAAATTAATGTAAAGTAATTTATGAATGCCTTTATGAGCAGTTGCAAGGAAGAGTTAGTGGTAGGGAAATACAGTGAAGCTGTCAATACTGCTAACATCGGATGTTCTTGTTTGCCATAAATGAAGAAGCAAACATGTTTTATTTAGCCTGCATATCACTTCTAGAGTTAAAGCAGACAATGTTAGCAGAGCGGGTGGGAAAGCATGCTAGTTAACCATAACAATATTTCAGTACAGCATTGCCAAGGTCAGCTGTAACCAGAGGAGTTACGGGAGGGACAGTTCATACTTCAAACTAATTGGAGAACGTGATTGATGACTGTAAAATGAAGGAGTGAGTTATGCTTTGTTACAGGTGATTGGGGGTGGGAGGATTCAGTTTTTGGCTTCAGTATGTACATGCTGAAGCTATGTAGCAATAAAAGGATTCTTTAAGGTAAATAAAGCCTCAAAGTTTTTTGAAAAGCTGCTTCTTCGGAACCATGACAGAAGCTTTTAATTAATGGATTGTTCAGGGCAGGACTGCCTTATGACTTATATGAACTTCTATTAAATCTGAATTTGTATAATCTTATGCAGTTGGTTTGAAGAATGTTTACAAAGGCCAGTCAGCAAGCAGAAGAATGATAAGGCTTCTTGTGAGGTTTTATTGCTCAAGTATATAAAAAACTTGCTAAACTGAGGACTCATCAACATTCAGCATTCTTATTGAGGGAGTGTGACTCATATATACCAGGAGACTGCTTGATCCAGCATAAGATGTACATCTAAGCTTATGATGAGAAGTTCTACTGCCTAGAAACACTGTAACTGTTTTTCTTTCTGGATTGCTTGGAACAAGGGTTAATATACAAAACAGGAATACTAATGTCAATGTTACATTTGCACATTGTTAGCAGGTGCAACATTACCTAAACCAGTGCTTTTCAACTTTTTCACAGATTGTACCACTTTTAGGATATGGCAATATTCGAATACCACCAGTCACCTAGCAAGATGTCAAAAACTTGACCAAAAAAAGAGAGGAAAAAAAGTGATAAAGCACAAGTAGTCCTCAACTTACAAGAGTTCGCTTAGTGACTGTTCAAAGTTACAATGGCACTGAAGTGACTTATGACTGATGCAGCATCCCCAGGGTCATGTGATTTACATTTGGATGCTTGGCAACTGATTGATATTTATGATGGTCACAGTGTCCCGGGGTCACATGATCCCCTTTTGCAGCCTTCTGACAAGCAGAGTCAACGGGGAAATCAGATTCAGTTAAGAACTGTGTTACTAATTTAACAACTGCAGTGATTCACTTAACAAAACTCATTTAACAAATTTCTCACTTAGCAACATAAATTTTGGGCTCAATTGTGGTTGTAGATTGAGGACTGTCTATACATTCACTTACCACACTTTTTTTTTTCAAAACAATTTTTATTAGTTTTCCATTTTACACCAACACAGCTGGTGGAAACATGGTGATCAATTTTTTAAAAAACAAACAATAACATAGTAAATATATACACAATATTTCTTAAAAATTTCCCTCTCTATCTATATAAAATGTTATAGTCAAATTAATGCATTTTCAGATAAATTCATTCATTACTATGTCTAACCATCAACTGCATTAATCAATAAAAAGTTTTCAATCTATAGAAACCTATATTTCTTCACACATTTAAACTTAAACTTAAAAAAATCCATTTATTTTAAAAATTATAATCAAATCAATATCTTTCTAAAATCAGTTCATTCACTAATATAACATTTCATCCAGGTTATATAATTAAAGATAGACTAATATTCTCTATCTATTTATATTGTTATAAGCTCATTAAGACATTTATAAAACGAATTTTCATTGAATATATCACTCTACATAAATTTCATTAATCTATAAAAATTTATAAAAACTCATTATCCATCCCAAAGATCATGTATCATGCTTTCTTAATTTTGCAAATATTTAATCTTCAACTAACATATTCATTTACTATTCAGGTGCCCCAAGTGTTTTTTTTTATTTAAGCATTATTAACTCCAAAAATAAATTCTTCCCTTTCTCACCAATATTCTATTGTTTTTCACTGTTTCTCCAGATCTCCAATAATTAGTTCCATCATTTCCCATATTTCAGTTCTTTTCTCATTATACCATCTCTAATATTAAAAACATATAAAGCCCTTTTAACAAAGTCCAAATCTAAATCAATCCAGATTGCTATAAAACCTTTACCACATTACTATAATCAAATTTAATATTTATATCTTATTCTGGGTTTCTTTCTATTCCAAACAGGTTTCCATAATCGGGCCTTCGCCTGCCACACTATACACTCCAAAAAGGAAACTCCCATTGTGCATTTTGTTAAGTTAATATGAAAATTATAGTTAATCTGGGTAATTCGTAGCAGAACATCATTTCCCCTTTCTTTTAACGTTGAATAAATTTCAATTAAAATCCTTTCTTTTATATCGTCCTCTTTGATCGGGTTTTTCTCTTCTTCCCATGTTTTTTTCTCTATCTCAAAGTCAAATGGCATCTGCAGGCTAACGTCCTTCTGAAGTGAAATCCTCCAGTTCCTTATCATAAGTCCTTTGCCGTTGGTATCAAGTCTTTTTTCCAATATCGATTGATAGTCCAACTGTGAGTTTACTTCTTCCAACTTGGTAAGCGGGGCACAAGTGTCTTGTGTATAAACTAATGTTTCACTTAATCCTTGTATTTTGCCTTGTCTGTACAAAGAAATCTCCTTTGAGCAAGCAATTATATTCTCCGTATTTTCCAAAATTTTGTCCAGAATATACTTTAAAGTAAGATCTACACCGGTTTCCTCCATTTTTATTATATTTAAAATCCTTATCCTTTTGAAGGAGACTATATTTAAAAAACGATCACCATATCCATATCCTCCCAGCTTTCTCGTGTTTTTCCTTTGTACAAAATGAAAGCCTTTCCGGCAAAAAAAAGATAGCAAGTACAGTGAATAGATTTATCAGAGAATATCCCCCGGGAAATAATCAAGCTTAGTCAAATATTCAATCCTTCCGGACACCATAAAGATAAAAGCAAACAATATTCTCCAAATATTATGAAAAACTTTCTTGAGGCTCCCAATATCCAAAAATAAAATCAACCATTAAAACAAAAATAAATTTAATCCTTTAAGCTTCTCTTCCCTCGTTTAAAAAGCCGCTTCACCAGAAAAGGGAGTAATTCCAAGAAAAAAAAACTTTTCACAGGCAAAAAGAAAATAGAGGTGAAAGGAAAGTCTCACCGAATTCTCCACGGTGGGTTCGTTTGCTTAGCTGATCTTGTGGCTTGCGGTTGGTGCAGCTAAATGATCGGCCATTTTACTGGCCCATCTTTACCCTGTCGGCCCAAAGGAGATACTTGGTTCACAGAGGACGCCGCCGCTCCTCTGCAACTATCCGAGATGCCTCCTCAACAGTAGACGCTCCTCCAGAGCATCTTTTCGACCCTCTCAGGGGTCTACTGGCAGGGGAAACTCGGTCGGCAAAGGGACAACTCCTTTCGCCCGACCGCACCGCCGCGAACCGGAACCGGAAGCCACTTACCACACTTTTAATGGGAAACTTGTGCCTGCTTCTCTGACATTAATCTTTGCACTGTTCTATCCCCTTCTCTCCTGGTTGACTCAAAGAAGCCTCTCCGTCTCTCTTTTTCCATCCCCTTCTCTTTCCCCATCATGTTTTTTCTCTCCCTTTCCCTCCAAAATTTCCTCCTTTTATATCTTCTCTCCTCCTCCTCCTCCTCCTCCTCCTCCTCCTCCTCCTCCTTTTCTCTTCGGGATAGCTGCACCTGACTCCTTTCCCCAAGGTGTACACTGCTTCCTGAAGCGCCAATCAGCTGGAGCCCCGCACCAATCCTGG